GTCAACTGCTGAGCACGACGAGTGTGGGTTGAGTTAAGATAGACCCGAGTTAGTGGTACTAATCAAGTCATAATTTTGTGGGCAGGGACAAAGACAGCTTGTGGGAACACAGGGTGAGTTCTGGGTACAGTTTACTCTTTTTTTATTGCCGTTACAAGAAGGGCCAGTATACCTTCTCTCGACAAAACGCTAGTGCTTCTAAAACTCCAGACAATGTGGCAATAGCTATGCTCCTCATCAGGGAGTAGTTTTAACAGTGAAGGCAAAGCAACAGCCCTCTTTCCCACCTTAGGAACACACCAACCATGGCGCGTTTCATAACAAAAGCCAGCGTAAAAAATAGATTTCCCCATTGTCTAAAACGATCAGCCGTAACGGTGATACATGCGTTACGCGACCCAGCATTAAGTACTATTTTCGACGGAGAAGCCGCCTTCGAAGTGCGAGGGAAAACGGCGAACCACGATGCTCAGGTGACAATTGCCGCATTTATGTGCGGCGCGCAATGAAGAAGCCTTCTGGAAATTGTTTCATTTAATGTTTATTTCGGAGGCATCACTTCGTTCTGGAATTCATTCATTCCGGAATGATTGCTTCGGCGGAATCTTTCCATGTGATGATCGTGTTCGTGATGGTGATAGTGAAAGTGTTATTCTAAAGAATGCTGCTTTCGAAGTGTCATTCTATGGAATGATGCTTTCGGATGCATTAATCCACGCAATTATTATTTCGGTAGACTCGTTTCATATAGTGACACTCGATGAAGTAATGAAAAAACGATATCAGCTTGGTTGTCGCGTGACACGTTTTAACTATTGTGGTGGTCGGCACATCGCTAGCAAACTTGTGTGTAGCTGAAGGGCTGATATTTTTGTAATGAGGCTGTGCGTTTCGTATGCACTATCTGGCCTATGCCATCACCCACCCCATAGGGCCGCTTAGTACAGCATGTAATGCGCCAAGCACATCTGCTCGAGCCAGACGCCGCGCCTGCTGACCAGGGCCGGCACACGTGTGCGTCCGGCGCCGGCGGCGGCAACAGCAGACGGACAGGGCGGTCAGGGCGCGCCGCCAGACCGGGACGTGGTCTGCCAGACCGTGGGGAACCGGAGGGGAGGGGAGTTCGCAGAAGCGTGCCTGGTGCTGGTGGACACGGGGCGGGCCCCAGGACCCTCGCGGCCCGGAGCCGATTAGCCGTCGTGACCGCCGGCGGTTCGATGAGTGGCGTACGGCGCGGGCCGCACTCGTCTTCGATCGTCCGCCCCGACAGCCGTCGGTGGGTCTGTCCGCAGGGGCGTAGCGGCGCGCGGTCCACGGGGGTGGCGCGCCGCCGCGTTCGGGGAAGGGCGGCTGCCGCGCGGCGCCGGGGAGGCGGCAGGCCCTTCGCAGAAGCTGGCGGGGACCCCGTTCGAGCGAAGGAGGGACGGCGGGGAATGCGCCCACCAGCAGCGGGCCGTCGCGGCGGAAATGCCTGGCGTCGCCACGTGGAGAAGCGTGAAGCGTGAGAGAGGCCGGGCGCCTGAAACGTGGCGTTACACTACAGAACGGTCCTTCGGAGTTTCCTGCCGTCATTCCGTGTAATTTTCCTCGGACGTGCCACGCGCGGTCTGGGCATTTTTGCACTGGTGCACGCATGCGCCATCGGCGGGGGGGGGGGGGCGACACGGCTGAGGTGAGATGCTGAGAAGGCATGCCATAAATTCATTAACACTTCTCGGAGCTCTCTGTAGCCTTGTTGATTAAAGCACGCTTGCTTCTCGGCTCACAACGTTGATGCGGCATTACAGCGGCTTTTCACGGTGGAAGGGCGAAAAGACTTTGTCTTTTAACCCAAATCGACCTGTAAACTGATCATGTTCGTAATCAAGTGTTCTCCTGTTGAATCTAAACGGTCCACGTAAACGATGCAATTTTCTCAAGCGCGGTGTGGTTAACACCCTAACCGCGTGCCCGTTATATAAAATAGATCTTCATGTTGTCGTGTTATCACTCTCTGGCAGCTAGCTCGTAATCGAGTGAGAGGGACTACCATGGCACACCGCAATGATCTGTCAGCACATTCTGTTGCCGCCGGTCGAGAAAACATCCACTTAGGTGCAAATGCTGTGCAATTACCTGGAGTGAATGACCTTTACAGAGAGCATCCAGTTAAACCCCGGGCATGCACGTCAGCATTACGGGCCGTGTCGAATTTTCTTGGGAAGTGCTCATGAGAACTCATGGCATTTTGTCATTACCTGCCGTGACCAATTCGGGGGCCGAAGTCTTTGGCCGCGCCTGAGGCAGAGTTAGAGCAGAGTGAGGCAGAGGCTATCGCCCGGCGCCAGAGCCGGTACACCCGGTCCCACGGCTGATGCCCGGCGCCAGAGCCGGTACACCCGGCGCCAGGGCTGGCACCCGGGCACCCGGCGCCAGAGCCGGTACACCCGGCGCCAGAGCCGGTACACCCGGCGCCAGGGCCGGTACCCGGCGCCAGGGCTGGCACCCGGCGCCAGAGCCGGTACACCCGGCGCCAGGGCTGGCACCCGGCGCCAGAGCCGGTACACCGGGCGCCAGAGCCGGTACACCCGGCGCCAGGGCTGGCACCCGGGCACCCGGCGCCAGAGCCGGCACACCCGGCGCCAGGGCTGGCACGCGGCGCCAGGGCCGGCACACCCGGCGCCAGGGCTGGCACCCGGCGCCAGAGCCGGTTACACCGGGCGCCAGAGCCGGTACACCCCGGCGCCAGGGCTGGCACCCGGCGCCAGAGCCGGCACACCCGGGCAGGGCTGGCACCCGGCGCCAGGGGCCGGCACCCGGCGCCAGAGCCGGCACACCCGGGGCCAGGGCCGGTACACGGGCCCGGGCGGCGCCGCCGGCGGAGGCCCGGGCCCGGGAGGCGCCCGCCCGGCGGAGGCCCGGGCCCGGAGGCGCCGCCCGGCGGAGGCCCGGGCCCGGGAGGCGCCGCCCGGCGGAGGCCCGGGCCCGGGAGGCGCCGCCCGGCGGAGGCCCGGGCACCGTTGCTGACCTGGCGTGACTGCCGTCCGTCAGCGCGGCCGGCGCCCGCAGTCGGGTCCGACCTTCTCCATAAGCGGCGCCCTTGTCTGGGCTGCGATGACATGACTGCTGGCCGGCCGCCGAGATGGTGGCATTGCATGCTGGCTGCTCGGCCATTGCCAGCCGCCTCGGGCGCCGTTCGGCGGCGGCCTCCCCCCCCCTCCCCCTTTCCCCCTGCTCCCCGCGGGTCCGGCGCCCCGGGCAAGGTGTGTGCCAAGTCGTCGCTGGAGAGAGCGCAGGCGAGGCGCGCGCCGCGGCGCGTCACGCCGTCGCTCACGAGAACGTATCGCTAATGAATTGCTGAGCGGCAAGGCTAATGACTCCGTGGTTTCGCAGAACGCAGTTGGCAGTGATACCGTGGGCTCGGTGCGGAATGTGGGCGAGTGCGGGTCCCGGGGCCGACTCGGGCGCGGCGCTCGCTGGTCTTGTTCTGACTCACCCAAGTCCTTCCAGAACAAAACGACACGCCCTTCTTCCAGGGATGCACCCCGCATTATATGGATTTGTATGGGGTCCCATGCTATCCTAAAGAGTCAAAAAGTAATGTAGCGGTATCAATTGTTTGGAGGCTTGTTCCTGGCCTTTCAGTGGATGTGGTAAGGTGTTGGCTGTAGGCCATGTACATTCATCATTTGGTGAGCGCTGAAACGATGAAAATGCAATCTAATGTATTGTTTTGCCGTGTTTGCCCTATTTCATTGGTTGGTTTTGTTTGCCCTTTTGTTGTTTTCAATGTTTTAGAAGTCTGTTCTCTTAAGATACCGCAAGTGTTTGCAAGAGCCTGTGGCTGCCGTCTGGACGATCATTGCCCACTCACTGGGAAGAGTTGTCTGGTCTCCACTCTGCCCACTTTGCCACTCTTGACTCACACTTTGACCATCTGGACTTCTGTTCTCGTAACTTCTGGCATTTTTCCACTCAGCACGTGGCACCCGTTGATCTTACACACAGTAGGCTGACAGGCCCGCCCAGGTCCCGTCCCACGAGTGTTGTCACCGGCTACAAATCGGATGACCGGTGCAGTCAAGGACCCATTTCTGAGGCATTCACCCGGGCCGGTCAGCAGAACTGCATGGGCCATTGACGAGGGGAGACTCAGAGCCTTCAGCTGGCCGCGTTTTCCAGAAACCGGTGAAACTGGTTGGCATGCCGCTTGGGGTTATAAGCAGCTGATGCGATATTTAGCCGGTTGTAGGGTGACCTTGCTGCCACTGTGTCTTTTGTACCAGCTCCCCGTCATGCCGCCTTTGCAAGATTGCTGTTTTACGGCTGATGGTGATGACTCGTGTTCAGCCCCAGAAGCCGGTGGATTTGTAACAGGACGGTTAGAAATATAAACGTTAGCACAATTCAAGTGATGTGCAATGCGCCCCTTTGCTCTCGGTATTTACGTATTATTTGGTGCAGAATATTTATTATTTCAAGTGTGTCCCTATATGCAACCATTCTATCCCACCTTTCTCTCTCCCTCTCGGTTCCCAGCCCCGTGCTCTTCCGGCCTAGCTGCAAATACGCCCACGCCTGGCTATGACCCGAACGGGGTAGATATCACGGTACGGTAAACATCAGTTCCTATCTGGCGTGTTCGACGCGATTGTGCACACCATGTGGGGCAAACGGTGGAATACCTGGGATATTGGAGCATAAAACGCCTGGTAATGTCCGGAGGCTATCTGGCATCAGACCTTTTCTGAGCCCGCAGCTGTTTGACTTGACCCCTGTTTCTCCCTGGAGCCTTGTTTGACCTGTGCTTGGCATCTGTCTGACACCGAAACCGTCTGCCTTCCAGTCAGCCCCCGCCTCTGCCCGTAGCCATAACACACCCCGTTTTGTTTGACATGCGACTGATCTAGTTTGAATGCCGGCTGACCCCGTCCGTGCACACAGGCCGCCTGCTCCGAACTTGACCCCGTCTGTGTCCTCGGGCTGTCTCACCCGAGTTTGATGGCCTCCTGTGCCGGCAGGCTGGTGGACCTGGTGCTAAGCCAGGCGCTGGCGCTGTACGCGCTGGCGCTGCTGCTCTGGCTGCCGCTGCTGCAGGAGAGCTTCCTGCCGGCCTCCGCCGAGGTGGCCCGCTTCGCCCTGCCCGCCGTCTGCGTCGGCATCGGACGACACGTCTTCTGCTCGTAAGCAACTGGTGTGATTACATTGCCGTTTTCGAGCGGCTTGTTCATGGTCCTGTGCATGTTTACTGTTTTCGCGGATCGTTCGAACAAGTAGCTAATTGCTTGGTTTGGTACAATTGCAACAGAAGCGTGAAAGCAATATTAAAACATGACAACAACGCGACCACATTTGCATGTGACCAACCATCCAGTCGTTCACACAAGCGTCGTTCAAAACAAAGTGAGTAAACAAAATAAAAATCGCCAACGCCTGAACATAACGACAAGCGAACAATGATTGCACAACGGGACCGTCTAAATACTCTTGCCTGGCACGAAACTCATGGCGGGTGCGCTAGGCGGTGATGGTCAGCGGTGATGGTCCTGTCTTCCAGTGCCTTGACGATCTTAGGATTTGTATAAGTGTTATGTGGTGGCGGGGTAACTCAGTCGTGAGATGGTTTGCTCGGCGACCTTGCGCGGAGAGCTGCTGGACTTCAGCCTGGCTCTCTTCAGGAGTTTCGTCATCCTCCGTGGTTATCAGCATGAGGGGGTTCAGACGCAAAATGACCCGAAATCTTAAACGTGGCATGAAAGCCACGAAACTTTCTAGATGTCTGTCAAGGTTAATGCTCTATGACGACCAAATTCAGTATTGATTGTGTAAAAGTGCATGCTTTTACTGGCGCATGGGTCTTCCATGGCTGTTATTGCGACGCGGCCTCTTTCACCCATTGTCTCTGCAGGGGCTGTGAAATGTGCGCTCGTAAGATCTAGGCATGACGAGGCAGCGAGCGCTCGAACCTCAGGCTGGATCTGGCGCGCGTCATTCTTGGTTGCCTTATGGTACTTGGGGGTATCACTGCCCACATATGCTCACCTGTGGGGCTATCCTGCGCTGAAAGGGACCGACTCACCAATGGATATATACGTTTTTTTATCAGTCATTGGCCACAGGGCTGCAGCATTTAAGTAGCATTCCAACTGGTGAAGACACCATGAGGTCATAACACAACGTCCACTTTAAGAGCTCCCTACAGCACATAATGTATTGTTACGCGTTACGGCATACGGTTGCCGCGCTAAGAATACAAAAATGGGGGATAGATGGCAAAATTGTGGTTTTCCTGCGTAACATTGTTAGGGCTGACAACCGTCTTTTTAGAATGTTCGTTTATCTTTGCTCTGCAAGAAGTAAGGGACGGCGTAATCAGTTTAAGCCTAAGTTCCTATTGGTCTGACTCGATCTGGCAACGGTGACGTGGTTTGGAGACGGGACTTTTCATCCCACCAACCCTCCACATGTGACCCGTAGGAACTCGCGGGCTTTTGGCCGGGACATGGGCCAGGCTTGGTGGGTTTTTATGGGTTAATTATTTTTGCAAGCAAAGTAATGGAATTTTGTCATTGCTTAAGTTCCAAACCACGAAAAGTCTAAGAGTGCCGCTCAACACAATACAATGATAAAAGGTATTTTGATCTTTCTAGCGAGATCCTCAGTGTCAGAAATCCATTGCGGACTTGATACACCAGCACACCAGGCTGTCAAATGTGATTGCTATCATTGCTGGTACGTAGCATCACAAACAGTTCGGCGATGAATGTGGAATCCATCTCAGGACAACAGACACCGCATCAGAGCCTGCGTTTGGCTATTAAATGCCGGACTATGACATTGCGCTGCGTCGCGTCGCGTTGCGTCACGTTGCTGCGAAAGAGATACAAGGTTAAAATCTTTGGTGCATTTTTGTCATGGCTATTTTGACTCCCCCGCCCTTCCTTCTTAGTTGTAGTTAGAAGATGGCGTCGCAGTGATCAACTTCTATCTTGGCACAATCGAAATCCCATAGTCCTGGTGTTTTAATCACTGCTGGCTAAGCAACATCGCAGTTGCTAGCCAAAAATGTCGTGCATTAGATGACTGACGTGACATTTATTGCACACTTGATGGATGTCTGTGGCCAAAGCTGAGCAGAAACGAGAGCAGATTACAATTATGCCAGTACTTGCGGGTTACCGTTGGATCAGCATTGTAGCAAAACGGGTGTTTGCGGGCTGGATCTCTATCTGGCCGGACGGAGGCTGACATTTTGGAAAAAGTAGCGTCTCTAACGCGGTATCTTTAGTCAGGTCGCGCAAATATCCTAGGTACGATAAGGCCGTGATAAGGCTGGTAATGAACGCATTCGCATTCTACACCCGACACGCGCTATGTTACGGATACCGCAATGCTACACCTCGCACGCGGTCCGCGAACACCTGCGCCTAGCTGGCCCGTGATCAAAGCTGACGCAACAGAGCCGGCGCGTCCGGCCAGTCTTACGCCCAGCCATGCCGCTGCCGGCCCGGCGCTGCTGACAGTCGCCCAGGCGCCGTCACCAGCCGGCGGCCGCTGCTGCTCCGTCGTCCGCCGCCCTGACGCCGCGCAAGAAAGCTGGGGTCGCGCCGGATGCGCGGCCGGCCGCCGCTCGGCGTCGGCGGCGACGCAAGTTCGTATTGAGCCGTCGGATGGCCCCGGGCGCTGGGAGATCCCCGCCGCGCGGTTTTGACCGCCGTCGGCCAGGCGCGGCGCTCGGCTCCACCGGGCGATGGCGACCGGTGTGCGCCCAGGCAGCGCGAGACAGGGCAGCAGGTTAGAAGGCGGAGGTGTGTAGGATTGCCTCCGGTTGGCAAGTGCGGCTCGGTCAAAGCATAACCATCCGAAAGAGATGAAACTCGGAGACAAATGTGCTGGTGAGGTGCGTAGAGGCCCCCCCCCCCCCCCCCCCCCATAGCATGCACTTCAGCTTCTTCTCTTGGCTCTGCTTTTGATAGTAGCGCGCGACAACGTTTGCGTTCTGCTCACTTCGGCCGTCTCACTGTTGGCGTGGGATCGGCGTGCCGGGTCGGCCGCGCCGTGTCATGTGACTGTGACCGGACCGGACTGTGACTGTGGCTGTGACTGCGACCGGGCCGGGTCAAGTGACTGTGACCGGGCCGGACTGTGACTGTGTGACTGCGACCGGGCCGGGTCATGTGACTGTGACCGGACCGGACTGTGACTGTGACTGTGACTGCGACCGGGCCGGGTCATGTGACTGTGACCGGGCCGGACTGTGACTGTAACTGTGACTGCGACCGGGCCGGGTCATGTGACTGTGACCGGACCGGACTGTGACTGTGACTGTGACTGCGACCGGGCCGGGCCATGTGACTGTGACCGGGCCGGACTGTGACTGTGACTGTGACTGCGACCGGGCCGGGTCATGTGACTGTGACCGGGCCGGGTCATGTGACTGCGACCGGGCCGGGTCATGTGACGGTGACCGGACCGGACTGTGACTGTAACTGTGACTGCGACCGGGCGGGGTCATGTGACTGTGACAGGACCGGATTGTGACTGTGACTGTGACCGGGCCGGGTCATGTGACTGTGACCGGGCCGGACTGTGACTGTAACTGTGACTGTGACTGTGACCGGGCCGGGTCATGTGACTGCGCCATGCGGGCTATCGGCTCGTCATGGCGGCCGTTTGCATGCGTGTTTGCATTGTTCCGGAAAACCATGTTTGAGGCGGGTATCAGTGGACCGAACGGCTTGACCGACTGCGCGGCAGGCCCGTAGCCAGCCATGCCATTAAGGGGGTGGCTGGCATCGACCCTTCGCGATACTCGGTGTGAGCGTGGGACGAAAGAAGCGTCGTTCTGTTATTTCGACCACCAGCTATGTGGCAAGTAGTCAGTTTGTCAAAATATTTTCAGTGCTTTTCTGATAAGCACACGACCTTACACGCCTTTTGACGAAGTTTGCTTCACAATTTGGCATACCAATTAGCACAAAATATATGTGTTTGATTAATTCTGTTCGGTAAACCCGGCACATCCATGTGTTTTCCCATATGTTTTCCGTGCGTTTTGTGTTGCAGCTGTGTTAGAGCGTGCCGAACATGCACCTAGAACATCTGTGCCTACAGGAGCCTTACCTCGCCCCGTTAGTGTGTGGTACCTGATTGGCAATCACTCCGTGCGCATTGGATTAGAAAAATCCCAGGTGGGAGTCAGCCTGCCTTGGAAGATCACCAGACCTAGAAAACTCCCACTCTCAGACCAAGAAGCGGAGGTGTGGAATTTCCACGTCCAAGCATTCACTGAACGTGGGTGGGGCACGCTATGATCATTCCGGTATCATGAATGAAAAATCGAAACAGTTATATGTAAGTGATATACGCTTCCAGTTTTCGCACCGCTTGCACACTTCATTATGCAGCCATACTTTATGTTGGTTATACAGCAGGCGTAGGCAAACACAGGCGCGATTGTGCAAGCACAACACACGCTTCGTTCGGAAGATAAGGCGCGCTGTAAGCAAAGAACGGACATGATCATGATATGTATGACTTCAATGTTGTCGCGACAGGCTCTGATTTTTTCGATGCTTCTTTTTTCCGGCACTCATTTCCCAGAACGGGTTGTTATCGAGGCCTTTGTCGCTGTCCAGAGAAGGCTTGTATCGTTTCCAGCCCAATTAACTCACACATACAAAATTTTGTTCGAAGAATGACGCGGTCCGACAACTTATGGAGAAGCTGTATGCCTTTCTACTATAACCACTAAAAAAAGGTAGGAAAACGTCATCTTGGCGCTATGCCTTCCATTTTGAGGCATTGATTTTAAAGAATTAGATAAATCGTATATTTCGCGCACTTTGACTGCATGGTATTCCTCTAAGCGTGCCGCCGCAAGGCCACAGAGGTACGTTTGGGAAGTAATGTATGGTAGGCAGGACAATTTCTGCAACTTGTGACTGACATCCGCGTTTCCTGTATTTCTGGAAAATTGTAAATCGTGAGTCTTAAAAGCTTGCAGTTTAAGGCTTCGGTCTTCATTGCGACAGGTATACTTTGGTTGCACCGGAGCATATCCTTCTAAGATGCCAGTATTGCGCTCTTAATGGTTTGGAACGTTAACACACGCCCAGGCGGCCGGCTGAATGCCTTTCGCTTAGCTGGGGGTCGATTTGACAGCACCTTCTAAGATCTCAAAAACTAAGATGGCGGGAGACACCAAAGACACAAGCTGAATTGACATGGACTTGAACTCGCCTCAAAATTTTAGTTTCTTAGGTCACAACCTTGGGGTCAAGTAAGGTCGAACAATTCCAAACTCCAGATTGGTGTTTCAAGCGCCCCCAGAACTCCTCATGCAACCGCCGTGAAGCGAGATACCTGTTCTTATAAAAGAATCAATGAGGCCAGTGACCTTTTTTGATCTTTCTAAGGTCGAGGTGACCAAATATCGACGCGATTGCTACTATTTTGCCATTCCAATAAGCGTCGGAGATTACGCTAGGTGGTCTTATCGTAAAAACAAAATGTTGACCTGGATCATTTTAGGTCAGTCATCCTCTCTGACCTTTAAAACGTCCATGGAGGATGTTAGCTCGAGTAAAAAAGCTCAAGCTCGAGTAAAAAAGCAGATTAGGTTCCGACCCCATTCTGACCTTCACCCCTGACTCCAGGTCAATGGGATTGGTTGCAATTATGCAATCAATTAGTTTCTTGCTTGAGAAACTTTTTCCGACATGTATGGGCTCGTCTAACACTCCTTTGTTGCATCACCTTGAACGATTTCCCAGAATTGTCCGTCTCTGACAGCCATGATCTGATTTTGACCTGCTATAGGTCGGCAATTTTGTAAGGTACATCCATTTTTTGATCAAAAGATCCACTTTTCAACTTTTGACAGCTACGCAAAGTCTGGCGTGGCTACGCCGTGACGTTCGGAAATCATTCTAGAAAAATACTCGGCGGCCAATTTGACCCCTCACGCGAGCGCATGCTAGAAAATAGATTCTTGGATCCGGACGTCTCTGTTTCGACTTGCGGGAAATAAGTACTTTTTCGTAATGAAACAAACACACAGCGCTCGGAAAACTGATGCAAACTCATCTCCATGGTCACACTGGTGCATCTTCGTGCTGCTGATTGGAAAGCGTTGAGGTAGCCTTGCACTACTTATAGCTGCAACTGTAAAGCTTCACACCACTGGTCAGCCGCCCACAACAAAGTCAGTCAGATCGTCCAGCCGCCCAGCTGCAGTCACCGCCGCGCGCCTAGCGAAACCAGCGGACGCAAGGTGGTGCGGGTTTCTGCAGGGCGGGCGAGCCCGCTGCCCTGGGGCGGGCTCGTCTTTGTTGTGATGCCGAGAACTTCGCCGGTCGGGCGGTTTGGCACACAGACGGCGGCGGGGCTTCTGGGGACGGTGACTCAGGTCGGCTGCCCGAGCCCCGCCGCCGCCGCCCCGCCGCCGCCGCCGCGTGCGGCCAACAGGCGCTGCCGGCTTACTCTAAGCGGCTTACCTGCATGGGGCGCCCCGCGACGCTGCCAAGTCGAGAGGGGCCTGGTGGGACCGGCCAGGCAGGCGGCGCGGCGGGTGATCGCTCAGGCTCGAGGCCTCCTGTGATGATCGCTCGGGCTCGAGGCCCCCTGTGGCACCGCCGACTGGGAACGGCACTGGCAGACGCGGTGGCACACAGACGTAAACATGTCTTATCTGCACCGGTGCTGTCACCGCCGAGGCGTGATTCAAGGAACAGAACGCATCGGATCTTCGTTTAGCGCGAGGTTAATGTTACAGAAGTACTTTTGTCTTAAGTAAACCTCTGCTCATGTAGAGCGTTATCCCTATCACCCAACGGATCATATGTAAATGCATTGTATTCTTCCAGGAAACGCCATGCATACCATCAAGATATACTTTGCTTTGAGGGACGACGACTAGTGCCAAAAGATACCAATAATGGTGGCATATATCACATTCAGGATAAGGTTACCTTTCTATGCTTGACTGAATGGCTAAGCAAGGCCTTATGCTACAACAACAGTGAAAATAGCGACAGAGTGCCTTCGGCCGTGCACGTGTCCAAAAAGAGTCAAGATGTACTGGGATGAATCCGAATTACGAGCACATTCGCTACATCATCACCGCCACCATTCATCAAAAGAACTTCCGCTGCGTAGACATGCCGATCATGTAGGTATATAGACCACTCGGCATGTGGACCACTTAGACTGCTGCAGTCAGTTACAGGTGCAAACATGATGCATATGTTATCAACACCCCTGTACTTTTACGTCTTTTATCTCTGTTCATCCGCAAGCAGGAGTTCTCGTAAAAATTTAAGTCAAGGCCTGGCTTTCATACCAAGAGCTTTCACCAAACCGTGAAGGTCGTTCGGTTGCCTGGGCACGGAGAAGAAAATCGTCTTTGCAGTGCGGCCGTCTACAAAAGGTACAGATGACGTGCCGGGGCCCTGTTACGCCGCGGCACTTCAGGCAGACGACAGGAAACCGCATGGTAGAAAGGACCACCGTTTCGTCATAGTTTATTTCACATCCTCCCCTGATTGCATCTCGTCATTCCTGTACCTGGAAAAGGTCTGAGCTGGCGCCCCTTATCGCCAGGTACGCATGGTATCTGCGGGTATCTGTATGTACCTGCCGGTGAGAACAGCCCGTCAGATGTTAGCCATGTCGGAGCTGGATATAGTTAATACACACTAAAGTATGTTTTGTTTGTGCGGATTTAAGGTACGCGTTGTCAATTTCCTCTGTGCAATCCAGTTCTAATGATTCATTTTCCGATTATGGATTGCACTGTTTCAGTCGCGTCTTCTCCAGAAGTGACGTTTGAGCCAGGCCAAAGATGTCTGGTCTTATCTTCGTTAAGATGTTTATTTTCTGTTTGCGCCGCCCTTGACTGACGGCCGTAGGATCCGTGGCTGGCAGAGTGTGCCGCGGGAGTGACGTTTGGCTGAACACATCTGGCCTCGACCTCTCGACACGTCGCGGGCTTCGCGGCCGTCTGGGTGACTCATCTTGCGCCCCGATCTGGCCTGATCTGACCTGACCCTACCTGGCCTGATCCTGCTTGACCCTACCTGGCCTGATCTGACCTGACCCTGACCTGGCCTGATTTGACTTGGCCCGACCTGGCCTGATCTGGCCTGACCCTACCTGGCCTGATCTGACCTGACCCTGACCTGGCCTGATTTGACTTGGCCCGACCTGGCCTGATCTGACTTGACCCGACCTGGCCTGATCTGACCTGACCCGACCTGGCCGTGTTGCGGATGCTTCGGCGGGTGTGGCGGCTGCGGCCGTCTGCCTAACGCACTCCGATCTGATCTGACCTGATCTGACCTGTCCGCCGAGTACAGGCCGCGTGGCGGCCGCGCCGTCTGGGCGACCTGGCCTGACCTGACCTGACCCGCCTCGTTGCAGGTTGCGCGGCTGGCGCAGTGGTCGCAACGCCATGCCGAGTGTGGCGCACGCCGTCTCAGCCGTCTGCCACCTGCTCTTCCTGCAGACGCGTTGCAATCTCGTGTTCGCCGTGCTCGCCATGCTGACTGAGCTGGGCGGCGTGTTCATCCAGGCGACGGCCGTAGTGGGCGAGCGACGCGCTGCCACCGCGCCCAGTTGGGCTGCAGGTGTCGGCGTTATCTTCGCTGTCACCTTCAACGGCCTCGTCTACCTGATCGTGCTGGCGCTGGCGCTGGCGCGCCGCAGCCCGATGACTATGCCGCCGCTCGCCGTCGGCCTCTTCTTCTTCTACATCACCTTCAGCTTTATCATGAACACGTACTCCATCTACCTGGTGATGGCGGCGTTCTTCAACAGCGTGCTGGAGGCGCGCGTGAGCTCGGCCCTGCAGCGCAGCGGTCCGGCCGGGCTGCCCGTGCAGCCCCAGGCCCTGGCCAACATCCGCTCCACGCTGGCCACCATTGAGATCGAGGGTGGCGAGCCGCCGCGCACGCCCGACGGGCTCAAGTTCTCCGACGGTGACCTCCTCATCAAGAACATGGCGTAGGGCGGCGTGGGGAGGTGGACTGTACCCGCGTGCTGTGAGATGTGATAGGAGCACCTCGGCGAGCGCCGGGCGCCGACCGGGAGCCAGGACGCGCGCTGGAATGAGGATCAGGCGACAGTGTCCGCTGCGACATAACGCAAACACCGCTGGAGGCTGTCAGAAGCTTGCGTCGAAGCTGATATCAACTGTGAATACGCCGAACCGTGGGCGGCGGCCGTACTCTGGCAGGCCAGCGGGCTTCTGCGGCGATAGTGCGCCGTGGCTGGCCGGGCCGCGCCGCGCCGCGGTCGTGACTCGTCTCGCCAGGCCGGGCAGGTCTGGGCTGGTGTGTACATAACCGCCGGGTGCCACGCCTTTCTGCCGGCTCGTGCTGAGCACGCCGGCTGTCTCAGTTCTGTGCGGCCTCTTTGCTGCATCAACGCCGTTAGCCTGTTCTGAGCGTTCGTGCGTGCGCCGTGCGCGGTGCGGTGTGTAGCGATCTGCACCAGCGAGGAAGGCGCTAACAGGTGGTTTCGCTGCGACTGGTAGTTTGTTGCCCCCGACGAATCGGTGATTTGTTCGTCCTTCTGGGGGTAGGTCAGGGGCTTCTCCTGCCTTTCCTCTCTCCCGTCGATCTTGATGTGTTCGAGTTTTAACGTGATGCCTGGCGGTGGGTCTGAGAGAAGACGTTGATCTAAGATCCTGCCGTAGCTCCCCCCGTGGGTGTCAGGAGATCCCATTCCGGATAGGAAGTGACGGGAACGGCTCACACACGGCCCTGGAGCGGGGCTCACGCCGTAGTGAAGCCGGCGTGTCTGCTGAACGGACCTGGAGGAAGGTGAGCCACGTGTCTATCTACAGCACTGCCTAGTCACCGCAGACTGCAACCTTTGTCGTGTCTTTCACTCTTCTGTCTGCCGTGACCGACGCGAGGTGGGGATGGGAGGGGGCGGGGCTGTGACACGGAGTCTGTCTACTCATGGAAAGACATCGGGACCTATCGTCAACAGATGGTGTGGGTTGGTCTGAGATGCCCCGTTATTCTCATGTCCGTCAATATTTAAGCAGAAGCACGCTGTCTGTCACGGTTGATCCCTTGGTGGTCGGTCACGTTCCGAGCAAACTGGTTGCCGTGGTGGATGATAGGTTTAAAAAGTCGTTGATGCCTCTCGATCAACCTCATTCCAGGCGACTTCTGATGGGCCATGGACTTCTCAAGTTCACAGACGTCGCGTTTGAATGCCGTTAGCGGCCTTTCTGTTTTTTTTTTCACTTAAGTGTTTGGCACGATAAATGCCTCTTGCTAGAATTTGACCTCACACTGCAGTCACTGTCAATATGCGTATGTGCTGATAGGTGCTCGTTTATACGTACGAACTTAACTGGCTTGTCGAGTTCAAGGCGAGGACTGGGTGCGAGTGCATTCTCATGCTAGATAGAAACATCTGTATTAGTTTTTTGTGTCTCGCTCTGTACGTACCTTACGAAGTGCACGCACGTTTTCTGTATGTACGCCTCTCGCTTTTATGGATAAATGTGACAATTTGACGTATCTGCATGCTTTTCATCCACTTAGACCATTCGTCAGCTACAGCCTCACCCTCAGGCAAAGAGGATCTGCAATGCAATGCCATCGCCTCGCCTTGCAATTTGCATCGACTGTGCAAATCGCAGCCTCAAGCAGGGGCGACGCCGCCATCCATGTTGACAGTCTGTCGTCTCGTTCGGAGAAGGCGGCTTCCTCGAAACGTGGCGAAGTCGCGTCCGGCGCCTTCGTTCCAGCCGCAGCCTCACATAGCCGGCACCGGCGGCTTCAAACGAACCGTCGCGCGGGCTGACTGCCAACAAAGAGGAGCTTGGCTACGCCGTGCATTGTACTGGCGGCGGAAGTCGGCAGCGTCCCACCGCTTCCGGGAATGCCCGCTGCCGGCTGCGTGCAGCGGGCAGGCCGCCCTGGCGGCCATCAGGTCAGGCATCGTCAACAGGCCGCGGTGGCAGCCTCCCCCGCCGGCGCACCCGTACTGCCATCTGTCAGACATTAATGGAACTGTGATATACGGTTGCGCTGGAGGCCGGCAGGCGACTGGCGCTTGAACCTTGAGAGACAGCCGTTGGACTACGTGACACGCAATCCAAGTCGGAGCCGATTTTGAGAATCATGGCGTTTAGGTCACACATTGGGACCCGAAGTGAGGTCGTGCAGACTTAAACCACGGTACTAAACGCGCCTGAGACCTGCTAGCGACAGGCTGTGAGGGATAAGAGGAACCCCCAGGAAGTACCGCGTCAGTCCGCGGAAACGCATTGAGCTCCAACGCTGGCAGGTGGCGATCACTTGAAACGCTGCGCAAACAAAGCAGTCAGCAACCGTCGTTTCCGGTGAAGTCGACGGGCGCGCGGGGGGTATGACGTTCCCTGTTGACTAGTGATACACAAGTTCTTTGATTGGTGATGGTGATACACAAGTTCTTTGATTGGTGATGGTGATGCACGAGTCACCGGACGCACGGTCGGAAGGGGCGTGACATACACAACATGCAGGCAATCGAGAGTTGCACCCGTCCCTCTTGAAATGGTCATTACTGATCGAGAGAGATGTGACCGAGACGAAACCAAACGGCAAGAATCGCTAGTCGAAATAATTTGTGGCTGCGTAATTAATACGCATGCTCTGTCGCCAGTTTTGCAGATATCGTCTCTATGCCAAGCCTCAATAGATGTACGCCTGAGTCTGCTTCATTCTCGCCATTAGTTGCGACCGACGTTCAGTCTTCCAAATTTACTTGCGTTTTTCACGTGACCATGATATTTACGACTGACTGCATTCTCCCGTGTCATCTATTTTCATCTTGCAACGGAATGAGAATGCCGCTCTGCCTTTCCCGACTGGTACTGCCACACTCTTTCTCCACAAACAGAGACGCATTTCTGGAAAACATTTCTCACACTCAGTGCGTCTTTATTTCAACAAGAGCATCAAAAAGCAGTGGGTGACAGGATAACGAGGGACTTTGCCTGCAATTACCGTCCATTCTATGGTCTTAATTGGGAACCATTACAACCGCGTCGTGAAGTAGACACGAATTCATGCAGCCATTTAGTCTAGTGTAATTAACGAGCGTGGTTATGCTTTCAAATTTAGTGCCCAGAACATTCATTTAACGGCTATGAAGCGTCGACCCCGGTTGCATGCCGTCTGGCACTGTCCAGGAGGTCAACTCAAAGCTGGGCTAATCTCGAATGCGACGTATGCGAGCCAGACGCAGCCTGCGACATCACGAACGGATGCTGCGGCTGGCGCGTAGCATAGCTGCGTCGCAGACTAGTGCACGGCGTGAGGTATGTCCAGGACGCATGGGCACTGTGTCCTCGGCCGATAGGCTCCGGGCACCGGAGTCTCGAGCGGCAGCGCTGAATGTGGCTCAGGCTTGATGCGGTATGCGCGCGGCATGTTCTAACGGATTCTTGAAAAAGAGCAACCTTCGATTTAAATGCATTTCTCTGCAAATTTCGAAATGGTATTACGCATTCTTAAGTATTCGGGCTTTTCATGGAAGGAAAGTCTGACAAATCATTGTCCGCTAACAAATTGAGACTGTTATTTTGACCCAGTTTGGCGGATGAGTGCTGTGTTTCAACTGCACTTGAGCTTTACACTGCACCTACTTATCTATTTTAGCCCTCCGCAAAATGCCGAACCCAATTATTTGGAGTCCAGTTATAGCGATCTTACCTGATCTATGCTGTATTGACCTACATTCTTCTTTTCTTGACGTTCATCCCTCAGACATCTTCTCGACTTCTAACCACTGGCTCATTACAGTTGATTTGTTTACAACTACGAGCACAATAAGTTGGCTACTGGTGGAAGTCGCCCACATCAACCTGCAATCCAGGCACTTCTTACAAATACCTGGCCCTCGTGTATCAAAACTATCATACGGCACGCGTGGTTGGGGAAAGCAAACATCCTGGAAGATGGCTACCTCATGGGCGTGGGTTGCAGGAGCTGCCAGGCCTAGTACCCAATGCTCAAAGGGCAGATCCATCATCTGTCGGTACCAGTGGAGCATTTAGAAATTGCTAAACTGCGGCAAAACCAATAGAGAGTGGCGCCAACATTTTAGAGACGTCATTCCGCGGCTGGGACACCATCCCGTTTTTATGTATGCGAAATAATCGTTACAATTTAATCCACAGGCTGTTTTAGCGTATCTTGACTCTCTTAACTTTGGGGTTCACTTACTTTCATGAATCTGTCGTGTTGCGAGCAACCCGCAGTGGCCGAATTTCCGCCTTTGAGCATTTTCTTCTTGTTGAAAATGCGATGTTCCTAACCATCTTTTATTGTAATCGCACACAAAAAGCGAGCTTGGAATCAATAGCGCAGCAGCCCCATTTGGACTAACCACCAGGGTGCAGCAGTTGGTCTGCTGACAGCTGATGGCTGCAGCACCCATCGATGTGGCGGGAATGGGGGGGGGGGGGACCTGACCCCCGATATCTCAAAAACTAAGTGAACTGCTGCCATCAAAATCTGTGGGTAAGTAGAGCTTGATGTAAATTCAACTATGCCAAATTTCAAGATCCCGCATCTTGAAAAGGTCAAACAAGAGTCAAACTCGAGATCGGTGTCCGAAGTGCTCTCAGACCTTCTCACGAAACCAACCTTGGTCTAAATACCAGCATACGAAAAATGTCGATGGTATTGCTTGCAGGTAAATGACTTTTTTACCTTAAGAATGTAAAAATGACCTAACGCCTTCGGGAGTATTGAAATGTTTGAATCTACGATGGACCCCAAATACTATACTAAGCGGCATGTTCCCCAAAGCAAAAGTTTGATCGAGGTCAATTTCGGTCAGTAACCTCCCCTGAGTTTCATGGCGTCAAAATGATACATCTTGTGACTTGTTTGTGACCCAAGAGTCCTAAATGACTGTCGAAGTCAACCTTATAAGTCAAGTTTTCCAGTAACAAAACAGCTTTGTCTTGACATTGATCTGACTTCGTACCTGACCCGAGGTCAATGGAACTGGTCGTAATCCTAATTTCCATAGCCTAACTGCCTTAGAAATCCTCTCAAAATTATATGGCCTCGTCTAACACTGCTTGTTGCATCATGTTGAAATATTTCCTTAGAATTGCCTTCGCTGACAGACATAGCCTGGGTTTGTTCTGCCACAGGCCAGCGGCCATACAAGGTATATCTAATATTCTGCACCGAAACATCGGCTATT